TCAAGGTTGGTGGAAGTTAGAAGTTCTCACTTCTCTGATAGCTTCTCTGAGGGGAACAGTAAAAAGAAAAATTGCTCTTGGGATATCCCTTTTATCTATAATAAAGTTCAAGGGCACAGGCATGCAAGAGAGGAATTGGGGGCAACCATTTATCCCCCTTTTTCAAGTTCAATCTCATTTCTGCAGATGCTGAGGAAGGGATCATGGAGATTCAGGGCAGGACAACCAGCAGTTTGAGTATGGATTGAAGTGTGAGTCATGATGACTCTGGTTACACTTAATGGATGTGCAGGTGCAGCCCTGGTGGAGCTGTAGACCTGGGTGACATCCACTCAGCAGCCATTGAGAAGAAAACCCGAGGCTGCGAGTTAGCTGGAGATCCACGAATCCCAGTCTCTTCCTTTCCCTTCTGCCCACAACCAACCCCAAACCCAGAAGAAAAAGGACCCATAGTCTCCAGTCCTGTTGTTGCTCTGGGAAACACCAAAGCTGATGACAATGTGGCCATTGGATGAGGAAACGGATTTCCTGGAACAAAGAGCCCTTCATGGAAAACAAGAGAGACCAGGATCTAATGCAGAAGGAAGAGCCAAGAGCAGAGATAAGAAGATGAAGAGGGGGCTGCTGGAAGGAAAAAGGGGCCCAACTGGAGGGCAGAAAGCCCCCAAGTGAGGGCATCTCTGCAGCTGGATACATTGGCCCTTGGTATTTCCCTCTGTCCTATCACTAGCAATATTGACAAGCCGGATTGATGGGGAGCATGCCAGACCATAATTCTCTGTTGCCCAGCAACATATAGCTATCTGTTCCCCATCCCCAGCAGCAGCAGCAAGACAGATTCTCCTGTAAATCAATTGCCACCTGCTGCCCCGTCAGCGTCAGCCTCTCCCCCCCCCCCGCCGCCCCTTATGAGGGCCTTGGAGAAAAAGGGACAGACGGGGAACAACCAGCTTTGCTTCCGTTCTTCCAGGAAAGAGAACATTTTGATTATTAACTGTGGTTGCACAAGAGTGGGAGGACAGGTCATCCACAGGCCAGCATCTCCTCTCCACTGGAATAAAAGAGGCAAACCCCCCCCCCCAGAATGACCCATAAGTGATTTTTTTTATTACCCTGCTACTACAATTATGTCCCTGGATATTAGCATTCTTCGGTTATTGTTATTAGGCTGATGAAAGGGACAACTGAACAGCATCTCCCTAATAAGAGAACCAGAAAATGATCAAATGATGCAGCAGGCTGTCCCCATCACCAAAAAAAAGTCAAAGCGAAAAAGGATTTTCCCTTTTACTGAACATGAGAAAATCAGCATCACAAGTATGTTCCAGCTTTCCAGAACACATTTCCCAGTCATTTTAATTAACCCAGCTTTGGGGACCTGTTTCACACTATCTCTCAGGGCAAAAAATGCCCTACGTTTCCATTCATTTTTTTCTAAATACTCAAATGATTACTGCAGTGTCTATGTTTAGACCCTAAGAATCCGAACATGGAAGGTGTCAGCAGGTGCTATGTCTATCCACTCAAATATTTTCAGAATAAACAAGACTTTTGTGAAGAATCCAATATTTGGGACAAATTTCCTTTTCCCCACCCATCAATATTGAATCAGGGCTACAAGATCTATCCAGATGAAAAACGGGTGGGATGACAAAAAGCACCTACACATTACACCCCAATATAAACAAAAGAGAAATCAATCTCCACAAATCTGACCTGACCCTATTTTCCGAAGTATAAAACTGGAAGAGAGGGACTAATCCTAAACCCATCTGAATATTCTGGATTGTAGATCCCAATAATTCATGTCTTGCTGATAAGGGCACATGGCCACTAAAGCATTTTCCTCCAAACTGAAATTCAAGGAGAATCCTCAAGTTTGAAAAAAAAACCAGAAATTTCTAAATTTCAGTTAGAAGTTAGTGAAATTAAAATTGCACTTTTCCCCATCCACGTCCCTGGATTCACTTCAATCCACTTAAATAGATTGACTCCAGGATTAAAAATCACCATTTTTTTTAAATAGATGGACATAGTTCCTTCTTGAAATAAAAGCTTGCTTGGAATATTACAGCCACTGGAATCTAGTTTTTATCTCTCTCTTTTTTTAGTTGCATTGATTCCATGGCAAGAGAAAAACACTCTGTGCATGATAGAAGGTACCCTTTTAAAATGGTGGCATTACCATGATGAAACAGATCCTGAAGTTGAGCATTCAATCAAAGCTCCATGGCTTTGAATGTTTAAATAAAGGCAAGCAGAATTAGGTAGAAGCAGAATTTTGGAGGGATGTTTCCATCATTCTCAGCAAAGTCAGACATTCACACCTTTCAGAAGAGTCTTAGCTTGAAAACCCACATAGGGTATAACCTACAAGCAAAAAGATCATGACTGAAATACAAGTTAACATCCTGTTCAGACAACCCTCTCTATAGAATCTGAGATAATCTGAAAGCCACCATATCTATGCATTACTGATATCTTGTTCACAGGACCTGTCATTTCAGGAACAAAAGGCCAGGTTCATTCAGTCCCTGTTATCTAGTAAGTTAAGGATGGCCCATATTTGTGAAAGAAACACATTCTCCCTTGAGTGCTTTTGGCTACTGGCTTAATCTTTATGATGAAATTCCAGGCTTCAGCCAATTCAATGTGGATTAACTGGGCAAGCTCTTGCACAAAATAAGACCTGTTGCACACAGTACTATAGAACCCAATTCAGAAGACTACCTTGTATGAATACAGATCCTAGTACTTCTCCATCTTAAAAACACATCTTCAGAGGCACTATGCTTCTCAGACACCCTATGTACACAAGGGGTCCAAACAAAAATGAACATTTTAATGTCATAATGCAGTCAGAATACATATAGCTCCTCTCATTTTACTATATGCAAACTATCTCTTTTCCTGCTTCTGTTTTTCATGGAGAGAGAGAGAAATAGAAATATATTAGATTTCCCAATATCAATCAGCCATTCCTGACATGTTCAAAAGATACTTGAATACTTGATTTAGACACTAAAGATTATATACTAACTCCATAAAAAGCAGAAAATCTACAAGCCTGCCAGTCATTTACCGGCATTTTAGCCACACTAGTAGTACTGTATACATAGCTACATAGCAAATGCATGTAAACTCAAAAAATCTTATAGACCTTGGATTCTTGTCTATTCTCAGCTCCATTCATTCTCCATATAATACAGAACAATAATTCTGCATGCACAATATTTCAAATACCAGGGTGCCTCCCCATACTCTTCTATACAGAAACATACCATCCAGTGAATATTCCCTCACATCCACAAGCCTCATTTATTACACCCCAAAGGGCTGTTACTTGTATCAACAACAAACACGCATAGCACCACCTACAACCCGTACTCTCGTACGCATCCACCCTCATCTTAGGGATCTCCCCCTGAATTTGATCCTTCTGTCCCAAATCACTTGCTATTGTCCCCCCCGAGCAGTGCAGCTTCACGCTATACCCGCCCCCCCCAAGAGAGCAATGCTTCATCAAAATCGCTACCACTCCTCATACAAATGAACAGCAGGACATGTCCCACCTGTCCTTGGATGCATACAAACACACATAGACTGTACTGGAAATAAACAACAACCTGAAGCATCTTCTGAGCACAGATGGTTCCCAGCAAACAGCCCACAATGTTGTTCTGCCAAGGGCAAAGAACACCCCAAGATTCAACACCCCCCCCGACACCCTTCTATAATTCTAATACATAAATCAGGAGCAACTTGCCCCCCTCCCTCCATATCAGCTGCTTAAGAAAGGTGATCTCATCCCAGTGCTCCTGGACGGAAGAGCCTTCTGCTTTAGGCCGGGATCCAACTGCCACACCCTTCTGCTGTTCACTCCACAGCCATAACACAGCCCCATAAGCTGGCCACAATTCCCACAGTATCCTTTCCAGCACACAATGCTTCCGCCTCTCACACCCCAAGCTCTCCACAAACACATACACATACACACACACACACACACACACACACACACCCCTTGCTGACTATGCACCCGTTCTGTGGTGGTGCATTCACACACAGATTGCTCTCTTCTCCTCCCTTGATGGCACCCAGAGACCATTTCCTGACCAACCCACACAAATGCCCCATCCTGCAGACAGCCTTACTCCTTTTCTACTCCTAGTGTAAGCCTTCCCCTTCACACACATTCACACACTTGCACACACACACACACACACACACAGAGAGAGAGAGAGAGAGAGAGAGAGAGACAGACGTTAACCCTGATGCATCCTGATGAATATATAAGGTGAACATATACCTCTTCATTTTCTCCCTCTCATTTTTTTCATGGCCATAGATTTGGTTCACCCCCAACGCTGCTAACAACGTTCTCCTCGCCCCCCTCCCATTATCCATCTAAACGATGGTTGGAAAAACTTGCAGGATTTTGATCCCGATCTCTTCACTAATCCCCCGGTCCTCCACCCGGGAACCCCGCATTCCCATACAGGTTTCTGCAGATGGAACCCCCTACTCCGCTCGCCCGCCCGCCCGCCCGCCCAATGGTCGGGGGGGCCATTTCCCTCCCCCCCCCTTCCTCAGTTTCTTCTGTAATAAAATCGGACCACAGCCCTCACACCGAAGCCTTTAAGTTACTCCAGATTCAGGGGGATCTTCATCACCCCCGACATCCAGCCGCGCAACTTTTCTCAGCAGCGGAGGGGGGGGCGAAAACCCGCCTAACGGGGAGGAGGATGCTCTCCAGGGAATCCGCACCCACTTGGGAACCCCAGGATTCTCCCTTCTCTTCCAGATGTGGGGAAAGCATCCCTGGGGTGTTTTTTAATGGGTCCTGACAAAGACGGGCGGGGGGGGCGCAGACCCACCTCCCAGCCTAAAAAACACCCGGTTTTCCTTCTCCCCCACCCGACCGTCCATCGAACAGCCCCGAAGTTGATAAAAAGAGGGAAGCGGTTCGGCTCCCCTCTTCGGTCCTCCTAGCCCCCTACCTGAGCCGCGCCCGTCCTTCCGCTGACTCCGCTGCCGCTGCGGCCGCCTCGTTGACTCCTACTGCTTCGGCTGCAGCGTCTGATCGATGTGACATAATCGGCAGCAGCGGCGGCGGCGGCGGCGGCAGCGGCGGAGAGTCCCCTCCCTCCGTGCCCCGCCCTACCCAGCCCCCCTGATCCTCCCCCCCCGCCTTTCCTTCCCAGCTCCGGTTCGGCTCCAGAGCTGGAGGAGGAGTAAGATGGAAATTGGTTTATTGACCACACACACGCACACGCAGACACGCGCACACGCGTTGCTGTATTCTAAGAAGAATTTGGGGAATTGGGTGGGGTTGGGGTGGGGTTAACCTCCTGGTCTATTCTCAGCATCCTGGAGCTGGGGGGGGGGACGCCCGGGTCCCTCATTTTGGGCTGGGGAGGGGGGTCTCCGGTGCTTTAGAAAGAAGGGGTGGGGTAGGGGGTGCCTTGGCGAGGGAAAACGAGGCAGAGGGAGCGGAGTACATTAGATGGGAGCCCGAGCAAGTCCATAGCAGAACGGCAGAAGGAAAGAATCAATTAAGAGAAGGGAGCCAAGCTGCTGAAGCCGGATAATTTCCTGGATGTGGCGAGAATGCTTGAAGGTCATGCCCAGATCACCCAATTCCCCGCAAAGCTTCCAACCGAAAGCCTTCCGAGCCAGCCAGCTGGGTTTCTGGCGCGCATGGGCTGCGGCAACGGAGCCCAGCTCAGAAGCAACCGGACCCCTCCAGGCAAATTGCAAGGGTGATCAACAGCCTTTCTCCGCTAGCGGCTCTGCTGGCCAGCTAGGAATGATGGCCGTTGTAACTCTACAGATCTGAAGGGCAGCCCTGGCGCCTTGGCCAAAGGAGCTAAATCGGCGCCACTGAGCGCTGGCATTTATCCGGGGAAGGGGAAAGCCAGAGAAGCTGGGCGCTGTAACGGCAGAGGCTAGAGTGCCTGGCCAGAGCAAAGCACTGGCTCTGTTCTGGGCAGTGAAGCAGCTCTTGGGGGTTTGAGGTTTCCGATGGGCAAGCCAGAGACTCCCCAGGGAAAGGGACAGGAGGAGCCACAGAGACAGCAAAGCAAGGCTTTCTTGCATCGCAGCGCCTTTGGGGTGGGGAGGAGAAGGTGACTACCCTGTGGCCTGCAAGTGGTTTCAGAGCATCAACTCCTTGTCCCAAAAATGAACTGGGGAGTTTGAAAACCTGGATACGGGAGATGTAATGGGTCAAAGGACAAGGAGGAACAGAGGGCAAACCAAAGGGCTTCTCCAAGAAGCAGAACCTTTTGGAAGATGAGCAAAGGAGTGAAGCGTCAATCATAAGGTCAGAGGAAAAACCGGGCTGGATCGGAGCAAGGCCTGCCTTCCATAAAGAGAGGACCTCATAGGACAGTGGTGGCGAACCTATGGCACAGGTGCCAGAGGCGGCACTCAGAGCCCTCTCTGTGGGCACACTTGCCGTTGCCCCAGCCTTGCCTCCTGCCATGATCCCCTCCTCACCAACAGCCCCCCTGGAGGAGAGTCGCCCCCGAGCGTGGCCCATGTGGAGTTGCGCAGCCAAAGACATGGCAGCCAGGCAGCATAGACAAGACTCTGCCCTCACGCCCCATCATGCACAGTTGATGCTGTGGGGTGCAGGCAGAGGGCGTGGCTGCCATGGCGCTGCTGGGCTGCCTGGGCGATCTGCGGCAGGCCCTGGAGGCGATGAGTGGCCCTGCGGGTAGGCAGGGTGAGGGCGGGGCCAGTTTTTGGGCACTCGGTCTGTAAAAGGTTCGCCATCACTGTCATAGGACTTCCCTTTCATCGTGTTTTGAGAAGTCTGCTGTTTTCTTATTATTTATTTATCCCCATAATGCTTATACTGCCCAGTCTAAAGATTCTGGATGGCATACAAACCAGCAATATCGAAGATGCATCTACACTAAGTATCAACAATATTTCATAAGCAAAACAATATTGAAAACATAACTAACATTACTGAAAGTAATTTGACAAATAGCCCTTGAATGCCTTATCCCTGAGGCTGCCTAATCCCCTTGAAAAGGCATCTAAACCACCCATAGCAGTGGGGAATAATCTTTGGGTGACTACAGAAAGCATTCTGTAGCTTCTTCAGGGAAAGGAGCAATCTTGACAGGAGGTGAGACAATTATGCAAAGGAGGTGAGGCCAAGACAGACCCATTGGTGAGGCTAAGTTTTTTAAGGTACAATTCAGTTTGGTATTTTTCTTTTCCCAAAGGTGCAATCTTAGGTTTTACATCTCCTGCCTCAAATTGGCAGGAATCCACCCTGCCAACTCTCTGGCTATCTGATGAAATGTGGGTAGAACATTCATAGGGCTTCCAGAACCACAAACATGAGTTTGGGAGGCTGCCAACTACTCAGGCCTAATGTATAATTTAATTAGTCCTTTGTGTTCAAGTCGGTCTTGGGGGTAAAACCAGCCAGGGTTGCCCTGTTGCTGAAGAGAGTGAGGGGTGTAGGTGGGGAATGAGTGCAACACCTGTTGAACCTGCCTGATCTTGTCTATTGCCAGAGCGAGTTGTATACCAACTACTGTATGGCCTTTCCTGGACACAGAGAGTCTAGCTGCAATTATCTATGCATGGGTAACCTCATTTAAATTACTGTTAAGTCTTGAAATGGGGGCTACTACTGTGGTTGGTTTGGAAGCTGCAGCTGAACGGGTGGGTATATCCAGGTTGCTGAGGGAGGCACCTGGCCATGTATATTTTACAGTTTTGTTCAAGAAGCAATCCTGCTGTCAATGAGTGGTTCTAGCTGTGGACCTGCTACCTGTACAAAGGCTGCTGAATTGATGCTTATGAATGAGTTTTCTCTCTGTTGCTGCACATGCATTCAGGAGGTACTGTAATGCTATGCACATGTTTAGGTGCCTCACAAAAATGTACTCAGTCTGGCCTTCCCCAGCATGAATTTTGAAGAAGTTTGGCAAGGCTCCATTTCCCCACCTTTTGTTTTAATGCAAATTATTGTGATTGTTGTTCTATGTTGTTTTAACATAGAACTTTAATTTGTGTTTTAAGTTGGTTGCAAGTTTTAAGGCATGCCATCTTGAGATGCTTTGGCATCTGCAGCAACATATAAAAGTGTGGAAGGAAGGAAGCCCTGTTGTGAATGGAGTGGGACAACTCGCCACAGCCAACTCACTGCGGCCAACTCACCATGGGACAACTTGCCATGGGACAATTTAACAATTTGATTTAATTATTTAAAATAAAAAAACTATTTTAATTTTTGTCATTCACATTTCATTTTGTCCCTCCTTTTGCATCCTTTCTTTAATGGTTCTATTCCAGGGGTAGGCAACCTTGGCTCTGTTATGACTTGTGGACTTCAACGCCCAGAATTCCTGGGTCAGCCATACTGAGGGGAAAGGGAGAGTTTCCAAGCTGAGCCATGCTGGCTCAAGAATTCTGGGAGTTGAAGTCCACAAGTCAGAAAAGAGCCAAAGTTGTCTACCCTGTTCTATTCCATCATTTCTTTGATATTAGTGTAACTCTCGTCCTGCAAGTTGTCCCATGGCAAGTTGGCTGTGGCAAGTTGGCTGCAGTGTATTGTCACAGGCTTCTGTGTGAAGGCTGTTTTCTCTCATCTCTCACCATTCTTAATCTCCCATCATGTAGCTTCATTGGATGATCCTGACAAGAGGAGGAGCAAAGCTTTTTCTTATTTGCTTTTTCCATGCAGTGTGTTACAAGCAAATGACCCTTTTTCCTCACCTTTTTTCCAGTCTATACAATTCCACATACTGCATTTGTTCCTCAGGTCTAAGAGAAGAAGAGGCAGAGTCAAGAGAGGACTCAGCCTAGAATCATTATGTGTCCACAGAACAAGGTCCTCCTCCCCTTGAATATATTAACTTTTATCTAATGCCAATTTAATGGTGTTAGTTGACTAGATTCTTGTGTATAGGGTTGAGCAATAAATCTTCTTAACTGGAATTTAACGTATGGTCCTGATTCTTTATGCCTGACATTCATGGAACAAACATTTTGGTGGGCCCGATTTGCAACTTTCTTAGTCCTTCACTATCTTCACTATCTTTCAAATACCATGAATAGAACTGAACATGGTAGCTTAGCATGTTTTAAGCTTGGCTTCTTAAATAAATAATTTAAGTGCTAATAAGGTTTGGAATGTATTTCCTAGATTTCTAGCCTGTCTTTTCTCCAAGAGCTGCATGGGAATCTCCATTTTTTTATTATTCCAGTAACATCCCTGAAAAACAGGTTTAAAGTGACTGGTTCACAGTTACCCAGTGACTTTTCATAGCCAACAGTGGATTTGGATTTGAGTTTCCCCATTTCTAATTTAACATCTTAACCAATATACCATAGGCTCTCAGTTTAAGCTTAAGATGTATGTGTCCTGCTGTTTTGTAAACCATGATTCGTGGTTTAGTAGAATATTGGAATCTAGCCAATTTTTATCTATTCACTAAACCATAGAATCATAAATTATATGAACAAGACCAATAGATCATCTAGTCTAACTACTGTAGGAATCTCCAGTAGGTAGACATCAGCCTCAATTTAACGCCCCCAATATCAGGGATTCCACGACTTTTCTAGGCAGAATATTCTAGGGGTAACAAGCTGCCATAGCCAGGAGATTCCTTTTTATATTCTTCTTGATTCATCTATCTTTTAATTTCAACCAAAAGCTCTTATCCTGCTCTCAGTTTCAACAGGAAAAAAAGGTCTGCCGTCTGCCTTTTAAATGGTCATAGATAATCACTATGTTATGGTTCTGTTGTCCTCTATAAACCTTGTTCTTTTAATATTTCATCGCAGGGCTTAGTTTCCAGGCACCCTACTGTCCTGGTAGCTCTTTGGTTTCTCCATCTCCCTTTTAAAATGCAGTACCTAGAACTGCAGTATGATTGATTCAATTTGGAAGACAATGGAACTATTCCTTCCTGTGATTTGGACAAAATGCATTGGTCTTTTTAGTTACACAGTTGGAACTCCACAGCTACTCCTAAATTCTTCTCATATACACTGCCATCAAGACAGGTCTCCCCAATCCTGAACCTGTACATTTTTTTTTCTAGCCAGATGCAGGATCTTATATTTCTAACCTGTTTAATTGGGCTCAT